TGGCCTTCTTGGCCACCTGGGCACACTGCCGGCTCATGTTCAGCCGGCTGTCAACCAGCACCCCCAGGTCCTTTTCCTCTGGGCAGCTTTCCAGCCACTCTTCCCCAAGCCTGTAGCGCTGCATGGGGTTGTTGTGGCCGAAGTGCAGGACCTGGCACTTGGCCTTGTTGAACCTCATACAGTTGGCCTCGGCCCATCGATCCAGCCTGTCCAGGTCCCTCTGCAGAGCCTTCCTACCCTCCAGCAGATCAACACTCCTGCCAAACTTGGTGTCATCTGCAAACTTACTGAGGGTGCACTTGATTCCGTCATCCAGATCATTGATAAAGATATTAAACAGAACTGGCCCCTGTACTGAGCCCTGGGGAACACCACTTGTGACCGGCTGCCGACAGGATTTAACTCCATTCACCACAACTCTTTGGGCCCAGCCATCCAGCCAGTTTTTCACCCGTCCAAGCCATGAGAAGCCAATTTCTCCAGGAGAATGCTATGGGAGACGGTTACTTACTAAAGTCTAGGTAAACAACACCCACAGCCTTTTCCTTGTCGACTAAGCCAGTCATCTTGTCATAGAAGGAGATCAGGTTAGACAAGCAAGACTTGCCTTTCATAAACCCATCCTTTCATCCAGTTAAAATTTCCTTATATGCTACTGTGCCAGGATGGCCGAAGCTTTGTTGGTTTATTTTTTTTAAGTCATCAGTCCATTTTCTATTCATCTGCTATTTTTACTAGAAACTTTAATTCTTATTGGACAACCAGTGAACTGGCAGGCTCATAATATCACACGCAGGGGGAAAACAAACTTAAATGAATTTCAAGTGCATTTGCACGTTGCACAGACTACTTAGGAGGCTGTTTTATTGAATGTTATTTTTGCTGACTTTATTAAACACTTAAGAGAAGACGACATTTTTTGTTTAGAATTTCTCTTCCACTACCGACACACTTAGGTAAGGACTGGGAAAGCTTCAATCACACAGTGGAATCACCTAGGAAGCACTTCTAGTAAAACAAGAAAGACCAGACTTGACAGCGCTGTTATTTCTAAGATTTGAAATACAAATCTTCGGCCCTAATTCATGTCACAAAAATGGATATAAAACTCCATACTCTGTCCTCATATTTAAAGATCACCTTTAAAGCCAGAATCTTTGAAATGGACTTGTGATATCCCTTCCCTTTCTATACTGAAAGGGATCACAAGCACCTGGGAGCCACAAGCACTGAAGAATATAGTAGCAAACAAAAGGGCTTACAACTACAGTTCCTGCTGTTGGGATCCAAAGTATAATGAGCAGCACAGCCACACCTAAATCCATTTGGTATGGCAAGGCACAAGTGACCACAGTGTCCATTATTTTGCACACAATCATTCAAGCCATCCTGACGTGAAGAATGGAAGACCAATATATCCATCACAAAATCCAGATGGCCCTGAATAAGCGTCCTGTTCTTCCCACTGGTCTTGTCTGCTCTTTCTATGCTGTGAAGATTCCAGTCTGTCCAGTAGATGTAGTCACTGTATTGGGTTAATCCGAATGGATGAGGTAGATCATCTGCTATGATTTCTCGTTCTTGTCCTGCAAAAATAAGGATAATCAACTAAAGGATAATTCCCAAGTCATGAACTGAAGAGTGTGACTGGCATAAAGAAAAATTTTTTTCTTCCCTTTTTAAAATAAAACCTCATTTCCCAAGTCAGCATCGTGGGATTCACTATTAAGCGGTATCTGCTCAAGAGGTAACCTAAACACTTGGATTCAAAAACCTTATCCTGATACCCTCTTGCCTATAGAGTAATTTGAAACTGTGCCAGTGTATTGTCATTTAAATAAATACTACTCTATACGTCTCATGCTTATTATCCCAAATAGATATTGGAAAACATATTCAAGGATACTATCAGATCCAGGAATCACTTAGGCCAATAAAAAACCCAATTAATATGCATGAAAGCAACAACACAAAACAAACTTGAGATTCACAGAGAAATTACGATGTTTCACTCAAGAAACACAAATCTTTTGCAGTGCAATTTAACATACAGCTACCCCAAGAGATTAGGAAACCATTTGTTTGGCAGAAATCCCAATAGTCCCACCACTCAGTCGCTCAGTTAGCAACATTCACAACAGATTTAACACCTTCTAGAGCATTAGATGGCCTCTGCCATACATGCAATACTAAAGTAGATAAAGTCTTACTGTAAATCACCTTCCTAAACATTTTCAAGCATAAACCTCTATGAATCTCTGCCACTTTACATCAAATGAAGATGTAGCCTTCATCAGCATCATCTCCTCCTGCCTCAAAAAAACATCCAATGCTAGATTCTACAGAACACCTCATTTTTCTTCCCCTGCCCTACTTTCCATCATGCCCTCTCCCATTTGGCGAAGACTGGAGAAGGAATGAAAAACCCAAAAACTAGAACATGAAGCCATTTCCCTATAAACCACCAGAACTAAATATAGAGGCAACCTTCCCAACTACTTCTAGGCATCTAAAGTGTCCAAGTTAGGGGCACAGACATCCTGCATACTCTTGGGTACTACTTAGAGCAATTCTGGTCCACAGTGATGAATTCAGCGGATAGGCTCTTTTGAAGGAAGCAGATAAGCTGTCTAATTGAATTTTGATAGTTGGTAGATGGAGGAAAATCTCCCAAAAGAGTGATTTTTTTTCCTGCTGGGTAATACTTATAATGCCCAAGATTAAGCTGGGACAGCATTCATTCATCCACTTAAGAGTGCTTTATTCTTTGCTGGTGGGATAGACGTTTCTATCAACAACACTCATTCAGATCTCTCCTGGCAAGGAGACCAGCACTGCATAACGTAGGCCAAGTATAATAATGTTTTCTTAACCAGTGAGACCACTTGCTAGAAGTCTACCTAAGTCTTTATAATCTACTAACTGAAAAGACATCATACAACACTGTTAGCTTCAGTGCTCATCCTTCTACTTTCTCACCACAAATAAATGTTAACAGTAGGTTCAGCTTTAGAACCAGTTTAATTTGCCACAGATGATTTCAATATTGTGTTTCTTTTCAATGCCACAATCAGTTTCGAGTTCAAGTTTGCCTCTGGCTATTTTGTTTCTCTACATAAAATGCAGAAGCTTAGTGAGAGCTTTGATAGATCATGGACTCTGGATGGAAAAAAGCCAACTCTAGATAAAGAAACAATCCTACTGCAATTTCTAAACAGTAACAGCCATTCAGTAGTTGTTATCCCAAAGCAATAAATACAAGAAATGCAAAATCAGTGATAGCCTCGGAATCCAAAACTGCATCGCTCTCTGTTTTCCTGAGCTTAGTAGATTCTCTATATCTGAAGATATGCACACACAATAACAGCTAAAAAAAAAAAATCTCACTCTAATGGTAGCTTTTCACAGATTAAAACAAACAAACAAACAGAGTTGCAGGGAAATAATATATGTCATCAATCAGAGCATTGCTGTAATAATCCTGTATGAGTTTGCTTAAATACTGTATGTTCTGCCACATAAACTTTGATTTTTACATTGGAATCCCAGAGGCATTAATTCCCATCTCACAAAGGCCTCTCCTTAGAAATGGAACAGGGATAGGATGTCAGGTCAGGAACTTCTGGATTTGATTTCTGATCCTATCATTGATTCACTGTGTGACATTTGGAAACTTATATAAAGTCTGTTTTCTCAGAAAGGAATTCATATCTGCCTCAGCTAAAACCTTGAAAACCATTTAATATTTATAAAACATCGATACAAAAACTGTCTGCTGCAGAAAACAAAACTCCCTTCTTTTATCCATCATGTCAATATCAATGTGAAAGTTTAGTCAATCTTAGCACACCCCTTGTATGTATAAACGAAATTCCAATGGAAATTCCAATGAAAAATGTGTAAAATTGTGTACAAAACATGTTATGATACACTGCAGAAGTAGCTGCACAACCTTTCAGACTGCAGGAAATGCAAGCAGTATTTTGGGTTTGGTTTTGAACGATAGAACTAGTCTGAAGCTGGAAACAGGGATAATACTTCAACAGAAAATTAGTGTCCAGACTGAAAAGGGGTGGTTTACAGTGAACCTGTAAGTTTTCCTCACTTCGAGAAACTCAGAGGTCATCACTGCTTTGATAAAACACAGGCAGTTTCAGATCAATACAGAGAAATGACATCATATCCCACCATCATTATAAATCATCATACGGTTATTAATTTAGGAACCTTTTTTTTTATCGCCTTAAACATTTAATTCGCCATTTCCTCTCATAAGAAAAATACACACACAGATTTAATATCAATTATATTATTCCAATTTCATATTATTCAATTGCTTTACTATGGTCAGTGCATATTTCTGTACCGGCTGGTGTAACATAACACTAGATTACCTAGCATATTTGATGACTCAATCATGCTTGTGTCTAAGTCAGTCCAATATAGCCTTTGGTCCGCATAATCAATAGTGAGGTCATTGGCACGACCCACTTTATCCACCAAAGTGATGCTGCTTGTTCCATCCATATATGCTCGAACAATCCTAGGTTTACCTCCCCATTCAGTCCAGTACATGTATCTGCAATGAGAAGTGGAACAAAAAGAGTACATCAGCTAGGTAAGATTGTGTTTAGCTGCATGCTTTGATTTTTCTAAATTTATTTTCAGATCTTTTAGAAGAAAAAAAAAAAAAAGAAAAGGAATAACCCACGTGGTTATGTGCAGTATTACAGTACTCCTTTTTTAGACAAAGGCAGAAAAATATGACTGACAACTCTTAATTTTTCATTCAACCCCATAGGGTTGTGGAGCGTTTACCATCTTTTCAAAGACCCGAAAGAAACGGAGCTATATAAACTGCCAATTAATTTGTCATGTACAAGAATATGCACACAAAGCTTTGAAAAACAACACTGTCCCTTACCCTTTCGTAGGATCAAGAGCCAGAGACCTTGGGTTGTCCAAGTCCTTCCACACAAGGACCTGCCTATGCTGTCCATCCAGGCGGGCTACTTCAATGCGATTGGTTCCAGTATCTGCCCAGTAGAGGTTCTTGCCCATCCAGTCTACAGCCATTCCCTCAGGATAATCTAGCCCAAACTCAATCACATGTTCAACAGAACTCCCATTCATGAAAGCTCGGCTTATAGTCTGGAAAACAATTATTTAAAAATATTACAGTATTTACAGATACCCCACTGAAATGAAAAGAAATAATTGTTATGAAGTTTAGTGTACAAAAAGAAATTAGTAAAAAAATCAGCCAGTGTTACATTTTTTAAAATAAATTTCTGTAGTCAAAAAAGATACAGCAATTCACAGGATAAAAAGACCTGAATTTTCAGAAAGCTAGTGGTTTCTGATGACCAGTCCAAGACATCTTAAAAGGATATGATTTTCAGAAAGCACTATGTATCTGCAGATTCTTCCTTGCTCCTCCTCCCTCTCTTCTACTTGCACACAAAAAGTTTTTTTTTTTTTAATTACTTAATTCGCTGTAATGTTTTAAGTCTCAGAAACACATCTCAATTCAGAGAAATCTGAATTAAATTGTTTCTCATGATCAGTCACCTGGAACAAGCTTGCTGATCCCATCTACATTTTAGTTAGCACACACTCAACAAAACAGGTCCTAGGGCAAGGACTGTGTACATATAAATAAGCCACTCCTAACAAGGAGCACTGAAACAACCCCCAGGTAAATCACTGGTAACTTCCAGGACCAACGTACAATTACCCACCCTTGTTATCAAGACTAAGCAATCATTCTACATGCCTGCTAATACTTCAGCTGTTAATTTCTTACTAATTTGATATATGAATGTATCAGGGTAAGAGACTTTTTATTTTTAAAGGTAAATGTCAAAACCAGAAGTCATGTAGTATATTTTTACAGGTATAACCCACATTTCAGAAAAAGTATAATCCCTTTTTGAAAACGAGTCCTCATATAATCAGAGGCAGGAGAGGATCAGGGAAGTGGTGGTCACCAACAGGGAGATGACTATGGGCTCTGAAGTTACACTACCTGCTGCTAAGCTGCAGGAAGTGGGGGGACAGGGGGAATGAAAATCCAGATGTGCTGAAACATACGCTGATACGTATGTGAAAATACAGTATGCTGGATAATTCAGGAGGCCACAAACAAGTAAAATGTTTTCCAGTTCTGCATAGAGTGAGACTGGGATCTACGCACTGACACAGTTGAAGTAATGTATTTTCCACTACAAATGGTTAAGACGACGATAGCTCATGTGCTTGCATGAGATTTATTTAGTAACTGTGTCTGCAGCACGCTAATTTATTACATTGGCACTGTTCCTGAAGGAAAGGTATCCACACCACAAGCGGCACTGTTAATGCTGAAGCACAGCCCTCATTAGTCTTCACAAAGAGGCTATGGAAACTGCACGTGCCCTGCAGTCACTAAAAGTGAGCTTTTCCCTATTACGGCTTAGGCACGTTGGCAAGGAAACTTTGATTGCTCTTGGAAAACCTATTAAGAGGCTAAGCAGAGGAATTCAGTTCCAGTGACACGAATCTGTCGTTTTCTACCATTACTTAATTCACTTCAAAAAGCGAAGTAACACTGATGAACAGCACAACACTCACTTTAGCATGCACCTGGATGTGAAGCAAATGTGTTACAGGAAACGTCAAACTCCTGGGGAACACACTGAGATAGAACTGGGGGCAGGCAGGGGCTTAACACAGTGTGGAGGGGACTGGACAAGTTCCCTGGCCTTTTCTGCGCCAAGCTGGAGCCACAGACTAACAGCAACCAATCAAAGTTCACCTGCCAAATGTTAATATTGAGTAAGATTGCCTTCCAAGTCAAAACTGGAAGAGGCTAGAAAGCTCAGGGGGTTGCCAAGCTTGATGTTTAAATTACTCTACCATGTGACATGAAAACAGCTTTTCTACAATAGATACATATATGGATGCAACACATGCAGCATCCAAGACTTAGGCATTTGATATGAGCAGACGCCACTTTTGATTTTTTTTTGAAGCAGGAAGATGCCTGTCACCCAACTGTGCATTCAAGAATGCAACAGTCTTCATCTGCAAGAGTGTCCTTGGGTGCAATTCAATGACAACATTAGCAACTGCAGGACAGATCATGTAACAGAGACCTTTGTTAGATCAAAGTAACTGCTCTGTGGCTTTATATTCAGGGGATTCACACGTCAGTAATACCTTCAAACTAACATCAGTCCAATAGATTCTGTTATCAGAGACATCAAAATCCAGAGCAGATGCTTCCTTGACTCCAGTAAGAGGAATAGCAACATCGTTATTATTGGTTTCAAGGGAAATCCTATGAATTGCTGCTCTGCTTGTGAAAACTAAGAAGGCTTCAGGAATGATGCAAGTCTTCATGTCACTCAACAGCTCAAGGCCAATGGGACAGGCACATCTGGTCTCCTGGGGTGTAAAGAAACACAGATGACTGCAGCCTCCGTTGTTCTCTGCACATGAATTAGTTCCTTAAAAAAAAACCAAAACAAAACAGATATTGGTGTATTGTGGAGGTAGCGGGGAAAGGGAAGGGGGGGAGGCCAAGCGGAAATGCAGTGTAACTGTAATTTTTCAAAATAAGTTAACACTATGGGTTGTCAACAGGGAATTCTAAAAAAAACATTCAAAACTCTTTCTTTCCTTCTACCCAAGGATTAGGAAGCTGGTCCTATCCCTCCTATAGTACAAATAACAGCTCCAAACATATCCTTCTAGTTGCCCCAAAGATTAAATTTCTTCACTGAAGGCAGGTAATTACATACATGTTCAGCTTGGTTATTTTTGGCCAAATACCCCATCTTGGTATCTCTTTGAAACCACCAGTTTTACAAATGTTCAATGATACAAAATGGTGAGAAAAGAGCTGGATAACTGCAGTTCTTTCCCAGCTGTTTAATTTAAAGCTGAGAAGATTCATTACCAGAAGCAGTTCCAACAAGATCACCACAATCTCACACTTATTTTTTCCTGTGAACAACCATGACCAGATGGGGAGGGAATGTGGAGGGGAAAGTAAGGACCAAAAGATAAATGAGTGCCTTTCTCCATCTGTTGGAACCAAGGATTTAGATATTTAAAGACTGTTACCACAAAAAAAAAAATCTCCAAGATCACTCTCAACCACGTTTCTTTTAATTTTCTCTTTTTAGGACATACATATTTCAGACTGATGCCGTAACTTACAGCTTGAGGACTTGATTATCCTTTAAGTAAAGCTTCCCGAAAGGCTGGAAATCCATGTACCGGCAGGGTGTAATTTGACAACCTACTTTATGTGATTCTGTTGCAACTATTCTCAATAATTTTAATAGCTGACCAACGAATCCATTTACGGCTATGCTCAGACTCCAATGTTGCAGGTAGCAGACAGATCTGTGGTGAACACGCACCTTTCATGAGTTACTACTGAAGCCAGGAGGTCCTGTAACATACTCCTCTGCAAAATGCTGGAAGAGGACCTAAAACACTGGCTGTACCTTTCAGCAGATGCAGTGGAAGAACATGGAGCTCCAGCTGCTGATCCCGTGCTAAGGGCAAGATTTAATTGTTAAGATTTAAGTACGATTTAGGTGTTAAAGTTAAGTGCCACGTGCTTTGAGGCAACATTGTAATGGCCACTAACTCTGCCTATACCACCCAACACAGTAAAAAGCATTCTAATAACTGAACATCACTGGGACTTTGTACTGGAAGAAAAGAGCAACAGAAAATGGACCAATTCCGTGAGCACCAGAAGTAATAAGTAATGATTCCTATAGATTGGAGGCAGGAATAAAACTCTCCTCACAAAAATTCAAAGAGTGTAGTGGAAGCTGTGGAAGATTTATGTCAAATATCACTAAAAACTGGAAGCCCATACTTCTTTTGCAACACTGTATTTTCCCAAGTTTTCCTTTAAAATGATTCAAACGTATGAGACCACAGTTATTCTCATTACAAGTGATCAACAGTTCCTTAATGAAAGCAAGCCCATCTACAAACTACTACAGATCCATCCTGTGATTGCTCATGCTTACCAAACACTTTGGTAACACTTGTTGCTTTAAGGCCCATTAAATCTGGCAGCTGATCAATAATGATGTCTCTGCTAGCCTTTATCTTGTGAACTCTTTCAATGCTTCGTCTCTGCCAGTCAGTCCAGTAGATGTAATCTCCCAGCAGCGTGAACCCAAATATATGTGGAAGCTTATCTTCTAGGAGGGTTTTCCTCATTGTTCCATCAACATTTATGACCTGTGGGATGCATGAGAAAGAAGGAAAAAATAATCTTCTCTAATGCAGGTACAATTAAAATGGCAGTATCAATCATATTTTGACAACTCCTCTATTTTTACGCAAGAACCTCCTGAAATTCACAGCATGCTTCTTTCAAAAGAACGTACCTCTAGGTTTGTTGAAAGAGAAGTATATCGGAATGACAAGACTGAAAGTGGCTTATCTCACTCTTCCTCAACTGAAAAACCTAAGCAACATGAATTTAACTTGCATCAGTTCAAACCTGCAAAGACCACCACAAAGGGAGTGTTTTTTGGGATGGGAGTGAGGTTCAGGAAATTTTTTATCTCCATTCATGTCTTGGTCTCACTACTGAACTTTCTGCCCAGAAACAAGGGATTGCTGGAGTGACCTTTGGCACTCAATCACAGGGAACAGAGGCCATCAGAATTCTTTCAGGGCACAACAAGGCCATGTAGAATCTGCATTTTCTGAAATTTTGTTTTTTTACCATAAAAGAATTAAGTTTTTCTCACTCTTGTGATAAGCAAGTTCTTTAAGATATGGAATAAGTATTGACTCATATAAATTTGTATTCCTAAAACTGCAGAGAAACCAAAATAGCATTAGAGATGGGATAAGCCCCGCAGATATATATATGTATGCTATTGGTTAATTATTTCATAACCCATTACTACAATGATCTCGTGCTACCCCACTTTGCTTGGCATAAGGAAAGAGATTCGTATAGTCTGACCCTGATCAATAATCATTGGGCAAGATAGGAAATTAAAATGTCCACATACAGTTCCCCATGCAACATGCCTACAGTCACCTCCATCTACCACACAAACTGCAATAACCTTTCCAATCATCCAGACATCTCTTACCCATGGCAAAGAGTGCATATTTAAAGGCAAAATATTTATCTGACAAATCCCCAGATTCCTCCCCATCCCACTTCTTGCAATTGGTAGCTGCAATGTAACTGCAATATTTTTAAGGTGCTACTTGAAAATTTATACTGTGAGCAGTATCAAGTTTAGTATCATATTAAAACCAAAACAAAAGACCACAACTTAAGACAATTTATTCTCCAACGTGATTCAATCAAATCTCCATTTGTTGCTAGAAATGCTTCACAGGTGAACAACTGCTGTGCTTTAATTTAGGCTACCATGGCTCACGACTGAGGTTTTAAATCGTCTCCTCTTTACTATTATCTGGAAATTATTTGTTTATTCAGATTCAAAATACTAAACCTGTACCTTGTAGGTGATTAAGCTGCCTTCACCGTGCAATGCTTCTGTTTTCTTGTGATTTAAAGATAGCTATGGTCATTTCAACATTGTATTCCCCTGACTTTTAAATTGCTACGTGTTTAAACAATTTTTATTTCTTATTAAAAAATGTCTGTAACTTAAATGCAATGTAATATTAAACCATTAAATGCCTAACAATATTGTGGGCAGTCAAAATCAATCATCAGTTTTACCACAATTTAATACAGATATTATAAAACAATAGTTGTAAGGCTCTGTCCATACATGGTAAGCAGCAGAAGCACCTATAATTTATTTTTTTAACATGACCAATGACAATCACCACATCTTACTAAACTAGCATGTGAATTTCAGTATGTTCATGCACACCCATGGTAGATACCCAAATAAATTAAAAAATGAAATCTCCACTTTGAAACCTTATAATACTTTAGAAATTTGTGAAAACAACATGCATTTCTTCCGTGACACAGTTAATGTGGGCACAACTTTTCCCCTTTAGAGAAACACAAATAAGATGTGGTCACCAATTTTACTACATGAATTTCATCTGAAAAAAATGGTTAAATGCTAGCGCACTGTATTGGGTTTGCATGGCAAGGTCATGGTAGTGGGGGGGGCTACAGGGGTGGCTTCTGTGAGAAGCTGCTAGAAGCTTCCCCCATGTCCAATAAAGCCGGCTCCAAGACGGACCCGCTGCTGGCCAAGGCCAAGCCCATCAGCGACGGTGGTAGCACCTCTGGGATAACATATTTAAGAAGGGGGGAAAAAAACGTGCTGGGCAGCAGCAGCCGGAGAGAGGAGTGAGAAAATTGAGAGAAACAACTCTGCAGACACCAAGGTCAGTGAAGAAGGGGGAGGAGGTGCTCCAGGTGCCGGAGCAGAGATTCCCCTGCAGCCTGTGATGAAGACGACGGTGAGGCAGGCTGTCCCCCTGCAGCCCATGGAGGTCCATGGTGGAGCAGATATCCACTTGCAGCCCATGGAGGACCCCACGCTGGAGCAGGTGAATGGGCCCGAAGGAAGCTGTGACCCCGTGGGAAGCCCATGCTGGAGCAGGCTCCTGGCAGGACTTGTGGGACTATGCCGAGAG